GACCCGTCCTTCAAATCGGGCAAAAAGAAGGACGCATTTTAAGGCCGCATAACGAGGACTCTTGGAATCCGACCAGACCTCGGAGCCGCGCTATGACGTAATCGGCCTTTGAATCCGGTCTTCTAAGGATGCGTCCTAGGTTTTCGAACAGAGCAAAAAACAGGTTTGCAAGAAATGTGAAGTGAATTGTAGGGTTGGGAGTTGTTAAGATTTTCACGATTCTGATTACCTTATCGATTCTGTGAAACGATTTGATTACTTATTGATCCCCTTATCGATTCTGTGAAACAATGAACTTGGTAAGTGTACGGTGACATTCATCTACCTTTGCCTGGGACATTCTATTTCTGCCTGCCTCTATGAAAACAGAAGGCAGTGAACTGAAGCTGCCAGCCTCTGAGCCAACCAGGCTACCCGTCTCCTCACAGTCATCTAAATCTAATGGAGAAGGGATCAGTTTAATGAAAAGGCATTACTGTACAATTTCAGGAAATAAACTAATCTCCCCCTGATTTAAATAAAAGAGCGTCACCTTTCTCTCACTCCCTGAACTGCGGAGCAACTTCGTAGCATGTTTAATAACCCCAAAGAGAGGTAGGAAACTGGTCTATTTCCAGAAATGGGATATGATTTACTAGGAACCACATTAAGAACAGCCAGTGATATGAAACTAGCTACTTGCCACCAGAGTTTCCTTCCATGCTGGTCGTAACTTTAGCTTCTGTCAGGAAGCATCAAAAACACAGCATTCGTCAAAATGTATGCCATCTTATGTGCGCAGGTGTTTCTGCATGTTGGATGTATTTCCTCCTGCGGATGTAATTGCCACTTTGCAATGATTGCAAAGCGCATTGTTGCCATCTTCTCTTCTTTAAAATGAAGCCAAACTTTCAATCGGTTTACCCGATGGGACGCCATTTTTTTTTTGCTTTTCTAGACTTATGCCTGGTCACGTCGTACTTGCTTACTGAATGCCATGTGCGTAACTTACGTAAAAAAACGTTAAGCACTAGGCTCTGCTGCTGCCTGGAACTGTTAAGAGAACCGTAAAGCGAGCTGCCAAACGGTGCCATGGAACCGGTTCTGAAAAGGAACTGGTTTTCGATTCCCATCCCTACATTATCCCTGACCTGTTTAGTACATTTTAGATCTCATTCTAAAATTCTTATTTTTATTTTAAAATCTTTGAATGACCTTCCCATTCAGTAGCTCTGTGAGCTTCTTCATTCCTACCATCCTTCTCAGCCCCTCAGGTCGGCTGAACAGCAGCTCCTGCAGGAACCGAGGTCTAAGAGGACGATCAGAGCGAAGCCTCTATGGCTGCTTCTCATTTAGGAATAAACTACTCCTGCACATTTAGAGGCTCCTTTACTGCCTACTTTTATAACTTGTATAACTTTTAAATTATTATATATATATTTTTTTTTTTACCAATAGTAACACTAACTTTGATTTTGTTTGTTTTAATGTTTTTATTCTTCTTTATAATCATTCCTAAACATTATTTACATATCTTTGTTCCTTTAAAGTTTGCAGCGATGTTCAGGACTTTGTTTCAGCTGTTGCTGTTTTATTCTGGTCTGATGTTGATTATTTGTTTAAACTTAATCTAAAATTTCATTGAAACTACAGTATTGCAGTAACATTCATTTGTTACACATAAAACATGTTTTTGAACTTAGAAGCAGATCCTGCTTTTAAAGTAAGATCTTAATATAAATGAGATGAGCAATGATTGTCATGTTTTATTAACAATTAGCTTATTTTCACCTATAGAGGACTCTTAAGGAAAATATGTTACTTTTATACTAAATATGTTAAAATCCCTATGAAAATGCACACATGGGGGAAAGATAAAAAAAAACTCACTTGACACAGTTAACCTAAGGACTCCCCACTCTGTTATTGTAAAGACATCTGTTCTTCCTCTGCATCTATATTCTCCTCTGTCAGCTGCAGTGATCCTGTATTCATTGGATGTTGGAGAGTTTCCGCTGGTTGGTCTCCATTCATACGTCCACTGAGCTCCTCCATCTCCATGGATCTCACATCTCAGAGTGACATTCTCTCCTCTGAATATCTGAGGCCAGTTGGGTTGAAGGATCACAGTGGGTGTAATAGGAACTGTTAACATAAATGAAAAACAGCAAAATATTCCATCAGACGGACATTGCTGACATAAACCTCTTTAAAAAAAGAAAACATTGTTTAAACATCTGTTTATCACATGAACTCTCACTCAGTTTCTAAACAACATTGAGACAAAACTAAAAAACAAAAACTGACCTTAAAATAGAGAACAAAATCCTCATAAAAAAACTTTATAATCAGACAAACAGCATCAAGAAAAAACTTAAAGGAATCCAAAGTAATTTAGTCAATCAGGTCAACTAAAGGTCTAAAGGTTTTTTCCAGTAATATAATAACCTCCAACCCTCCTGATTTTTTCCAGAAGATAAACAGGATCCAATGTTCTGCTTTGAAGCTTTATTCTTAGGAATATTGTTTACTGATGTTCTTCGTTGTTCATAGCAACAATTAAACACATTAAAGATTTAAACTTGTCTGGTTTTATTATTCAACAATAAAGACCTAAACTCACCAGTTTTATAAATTGTGACCTTACTGCTGTTTTCAGTGTAGAAAACTGGATCTCCTCTTCCTGCTCTGCAGCTGTATAGACCTCCCTCTGAGATGCTGATGACTCCATGTGGTTCATTGTTTCTGATTAGCTGAGCTCCAGAAGACTCTGACTTCTGTCTGAACCAGTCAAACTTCCAGCCAGTAGAGCTGGACACAGAGCAGGTCAGTGTTACACTGCCCCCTAGTGGTATTATTTCATCACCTGCTGTCAGTGAGGCTGTGGGTTTATCTGCAGGTGGAAACAAATGGAAAACAGAACGTTATTAGAAAGAGATTT